TAGTGCAGGACACACACAGTGGAGACAAACTTCCTAAAATCAGAGTTCCCTCTCTCAATTCTATCCCTGCAGACATTCTCCACAGAGAGAAGGGCCAGTCTGATGGGAGTGACTCAGCAGAGGGAGACCAGTCTTAGTCCAGGCCCCCAGCCCCCTCCCATGACCATTACCCTGAGAAAGACCCTGCAGGGCTGGTCAGGGCATGGATGAATAGCCCCCCGGGTTCCTCACAGAGCTCAGGAAAAGGGGCAGCCCCTCCCCAGACTTCAGTCCCAGGGCTCCTGACTCCAGGGTCCCTGAGGAGCCTGTGTCAGGTTGGGTTTGGTCTGTGGCAGGGTTGACTGGGAGCAACAGTTTCCCAGGTACCCAAGTCACAAGGCTCCTGAGCTGGTTACCAGCCAGGGCTCAGTCTCAAGAGCCACATCTGGGCAGAGATAGAGCCTGCTTCTTCACCTGAGACTATGTGTGGAGAGCACATGTGGACTAGGCCCCCAGGTCACTAGCCCACTGCCCTGGGGGACACAGCAGAATCCAGAGGAAGGTCAGCATCCCCAGAGAGGAAGAGAAGGTGCTCCGGGCAGCTCCTTGTCTACCAGGGATCTGGCCAGGGAGTCCTCTCTCATGGACAAATAGCAGATGCTGTTAACTTGGGAAGCTCCTCTTTTCCAAGCTTTAAGTCAGTAAATTGCAAAAGATTTAACGTTCATTCAAAGACAACATGGCAAACCTAAGACCATTTGCCATTTATTCTGTTTTATTCAGGGGAAACTGAGTTACCAGGGTATACAGTCACTCAATCAGAGTCACGCAGACCATGACTGGCCAATCAGAATCATGCCAAGGTCTTTCTGCAGCAACAGCCCATCCTCTCCTCCACTCCAAGGGCCTTATTATGCATTTGTAGACCCTGAAACTAGCTATTGCTTCAGATCCTTTCTTCTTAAGTGTCCCCAACACAGAGGGAGAGATTCTGGTCTGGGAAGTGATAACAAATGGAGAATTGATCTGCATTTAGAATGAAATGACCTGCAGTAACATTCAGAGTCAGTGCTGGGAGCACCTAGGCCTTCCCCTCAGGTGGCCAATCCACACCTCCCTGCACTGGACTTGAAACCACTTGTTTCCTGATGTGTTGGTGCCACTCCCACTAGGTATAAAGGAAAGGACTTTGCCTTCTCACTCCCTACTCTACACCTGTAACCAGCTCAGGGACCAACATGTAACAAATACCCAGTTGCTTGTGATGAAGGAGGAAAGAACTGTGGTCAGGAATGAATGGTAATCTCTACAGAGACTGGAACCTGGAGGCAGAGTTCCAGACCCATGTTCCATCCCTCTGACCACCTGTCCCTGAAGACCTCCCTCCCCACCTGCCCCCAGGAGCCAAGCCTCATGGTGACTGTGGGGCTGTTCCACTGTGGGAGGTTGTTCCAGCCTGCACTGGTCCTGCCTTGGGACAGCGGTGGGATCTTGGTCCCTGGGGTCTTAGAAATCATCTGTAACCCCACTGCTCACTACCAAGCACATTTCTTGGACTCTCTGCTCCTTGTCCTTCATCTGCCTCCTCATTCACTCCAGTCACACTACCTTACTCTGCTCTGCTTCCCCCACTGTGCAGTCTCCCAAGATTGTCCTGATAACACCTGTGTCCAGGCCCACCCTCCCGGGCAATAAGAGAGGACACAGAAATCAGTGGGAGCAGCCGCCCTGGCTCCATCATGAGCCAGTTTCCCAGGTCACCAGGAGAAAGAGCTTCTGCTGGGCCCCCATCAGGACTCCTTCCCCCCCTGAGGCCAACAAGAGGAACAGGCCACAAGACAGAGACATGTAAACCATTGATCTACTCTATATGACTCAACCAGAGAGTCAAAGGCAGAAGGACAGGTCTCAGTCCCCAAAAGCTCACGGGTTCACTTCACCCCTGACTCATTCATGACTCACATCCTTGTCCTGGTGTGAGGCTCCCATTCCCCCCAGTGGTTCCCGAGACCTTCCCAAGCTGGGTCTGGTGACCCTGCACCATCTGACTGGTTCACTGCCTGTTTCATACACGTGTGTCATTATAAAGACACCTTGACCACAGGGTGGGATCCTCTCAGACTGAGATCCACCAGCCACTCTCCTTTCTCTTAGATGCTGCCCATTTAATGAATTTGCTTTGCCCTTCCTAGAATATTTTCTTCTTACTTTCTTCTCATAGAAACCTTGCAGCTCTTTATATGTCAGAATAACCTCATAAGTATTTTATCTAATTGAACCCCACACTGATGTCTCCTCTCCCTTGTACATCAATAATTTGTCTATGGCAATCACTTTCATTTAAAATTTTTCTGAAATGTTTTGGTAAAAATCTCTCCCCTACCCCCCCCCAAAAAAAATAGGAACCATGATTTTCTCTTTAAACTTTAACTCCTTTTTTTTGTTTTTAAAATCCACCACCATGCATAGCCAATACATAATAATGTACTAGTAATGCAGTAAATAATCCTTGAATGTCTGAAACATCTGCTTATTAATCCATTAACCCCAAAATATTACCACTTTGTCAGGCATTGCTAGATATTCAAGCATGGAAGTAAAACAATGATGGAGAATCCTTCATTTTAAGTGAAGAGATGATGTCAGGAATAGCTTCTTGAAAAATTGGTTTGGTCAATTCACATATCCAAGATTATAGAGAGCCATCTTGTGGGCAATTCAGATTCTCATTCAAGTAAAATCTTTAGATAAAATGATTTGTTCTGCCCTAGCTGCAGAATAAAATTTATAAAGTATGTTGAAATTGTATATAATTAAGCATGTCTTAACTGATACCCATGAACTAGCTGTAGACTCTACAATGTTTCTAAAATATCTAAAATGCAGGTCCCGACAAAGATATTACTAAATGTCATAAACATGACATGACATCTTCCATTAGAAATTTTATATAACTGTGAACAGAAAAGAGGGAGAAGTCCCTTGAGAAATGCAAATGTACACACAATTTTGCATATTATTTCAAGTGCTTCACAAACTCCCCTATAGTTCATATGTTCTGTTCAGTGACTTCATCTTTTCAACTCCTACTGTTATGGGTTCACTCAGCAAGATAGACCACCGACTCAGAATTTAAATTTAAGAGCCTTTATTAAGCTGGCCAGCTGACTACAGTCACAGCACCCTGCCGAAGCAAAGGCTGAACTGCAGCGCCGACTTCCATGGCCAGCGACTACAGTTACAGCACCCTGCTGAAGCAGAAGCTGAACTGCAGCGCTGACTACAGGAGTTACATTTTATTAAATTCTGTGGGCCCAGAGAAAAATGTGTCTTTCAAATTCTGGGCCCCCAAATATGGAGGAAACTCTCTTTATTTATACTTTTCCCAGTCCTTTGTCTCCCAAATTTGGAATGAGACTTCCGGGCCTTCTGAGAAAGAAGGCCTGCATGCTGGGAAGGGGCCATGAGACCATATCTCAAGGCCTGGCCTGATGTCAGTACCTTCCTATCTATGTGTTCTAGGAACAGACAGCACAGCATGACCCGTCTGGCCAAAGCGCCAGATATGCAGCCCAGCACAGTGTCACTGTCTCATGTCACTCACCAGTGACTCCTGGGCAGACGGCCACTCGTGGCCCTGCAGCCTGAGTATTAAACTCACCGCCAGACTTGCTTCTGGTCTCTGTGTATTGTTTCTGCTCAGACACCCAGTTCCAGGCCACAGTACCCAATCCTCTCGGGGTTTAAGGACTATGGGGTGGCCCATCATTACTCATCTCTAAGTTAACCCTGGAATGTGAGGCTTTAGTGGCAACACATCTCAACCCGGCAATGTAGGTCTGTGTAGCTGGAAGAGACTCAGCCCCTGCACATTCCAGGTGAGACCCAAGGTCGGCCAGGCAGTCAGCTGGTCAGTGAGGAGCCAGGACAGGTGCCGGGTGGTCTCTGATAGTTATCTGACACCTGAGAAAGTCTGTGCTTTTTCTCCCAGACATAGAGCAGGCGGCCTTACATTCTCTGAGCCCTCAGATCCTCATGCATTTGTTTGTCTTGTGATGCACAGACCTGCCTTATTCTTTCAAGGACTCAAGTTAGTTGAGAGGTAAGAGGTACCAACTCTGATTGAAGATGCCTTTGGAGAAATTAAAGGTACAAAACACAGCAATGTTCTCTCTGTTATCTGCACAGTGGAGTTACCCAAACCCAGCATCACAAGCAACAACTCCCTCCCCGAGGAGCACAAGGACCCTGTCGTGTTAACGTGTGAACCTCAGACTCAGGACACCACCTACCTGTGGTTGATCAACAGTCAGAGTCTCCCAGTCAGTGCCAGGCTGCAGCTGTCCAAGGACAACAGGACTCTCACTTTACTCCCTGTCACAAGGAATGACACGGGACCCTATGAGTGTGAAACCCGGAACCCCGTGAGCGCTGGCCGCAGTGACCCATTCACCCTGAATGTTGTCTGTGAGTAACTTCTGTCCCTGTCTGGGCCAGGTTGCCACCCAAATCCACACTGCCAGAGGCCAGGCTACATCCGTCCTTCTCAGGTCCACAGACCCGCACTCTGAACACCCAGGGTGGCCATAACTTCCTGTAGAAGGCAAATCTGGTTAGGTCTTAGGACTGGGACAAACAGATTAATGTCTGAGACTCAGGCTCAGTGAACAGGGGGCTATGGTTGGGGCTTTTTAAAACAAAGCTGTGACCCAGCTCAGAGGGAGAGTGTGGCCCTTACACAGACCAGGACCTTCCCCTTCCCTCTGATTACATCATGTGTGACTGTGTTCTCTTTGCTCCAGATGGCCCGGACGCCCCCACCATTTCCCCCTCAGACTCCCATTACCTACGTGGGACAAACCTCAACCTCTCCTGCCAGGCAGCCTCTAACCCACCTGCACAGTATTCTTGGCTTATCAATGGGAGTTCCCAGCACCCCGCACAGAAGCTCTTTATCCCCAACATCACTTCAAATTATAGTGGATCCTATACCTGCCTTGCCCATAACTCTGTCTCTGGTCTCCATAAGACCATAATCAAGACTATCACAGTCTATGGTAAGTGCCTATTGGACCATCGGCACCAGGCTGTGGGGTGCAGGGCTGTCTGGTTTTCAGAACAGAGCCTACAGGGTGTTGTCTCCCATCCTGTGGCCATGGACACAAACAAATCACAGTCTTCCCCTGAGCCCTCCCACTACATCTCTGTAGACTCTCCTCCCTTGCTCTTCTGATTTCTCATGGCAGAGCTGAGGTCCAGCCTAGGAACGTGTGGAGGGGGTTCTCCCAGCCCCAGAAAGAGTCAAGTGGTGGATGGAAGGGGCTTCCCAGAGCGGAAAACAAAGGTCCTCAAGGTCAAGTTGCTTCTTCTGTCACTAACACTTTCCTTCTGTCACCTCTTGCCTGTTACCTGCTCCGTGTGCTACAAGGAACATACCAGGCTTGGAACAAGCTCACCTCTTTTTCCCCAAACTAAAGGAGGAAACCACCTCTGAGGAGGGGTGAGGACAGACCCCTGCTCCCTGCGCTGCTCCAGGCTCACCTGGTGGCTGACTCTGCTCTATGCCGTCTGTGGTGGGACAGGGGTTCGTGGTGAAGGTGCATGGGTGGCCTGTCATCAGTTTGTCACTAACTGACACCAGAGCTTCCTTCAGAACAGGCTGCATGGAAATTGGGAGAGAGTGAGCCACAGTGGAGACTCCTCTGAGCTGTGTCCTGGCTCTGAAGTCACCAGCTGTACAACACTGTGATACGAGCATATGTGACATTGCTGAGAAGAACAGTGAACAGTGGTGCTTACTTGACAAGTAGGTAGATTCATCCACAAAGTCCCTTCATGGGACAGAAGGTGCAGTGACACAGTTTGTAGTTTATGGAGGAAGCTAAGAGTACCCGCTTTTTGTTAAAATTGTGACTACTTCTCTCTAGGGATTTCCTTCTTTGTGATACTCAATCCACAGGCCAGGAAGTGAAAGTCCTATTCAGACTGAGAAATCCTTTAGATTGATACTTCTCCAGGTCCTAAGATTATGAAGACTGGCTGGGCTATATTCTCTAATAAATTACTTAATAAAAGGGAAATGTATAGCCACCATGCTAGAGAGGGGGTCCTTTCCATCTCTGTGTGTAGCCACCATACTAGAGAGGGGGTGTGAGTATGTAGAAAGTCACAGAAAGGTCTGGGAAAGAGTCACACAAAGTTAATGGGTGGAGCCCAGATGATATGGCTCAGTGGTTGAGCTCTGACCATTGACCTGTGAACCAGGGGGTCATGGTTCAATTCCCGGTGAGGACACATTCTAAAGCTTGATCCCAAGTAGGGGATGACAGGGAGGTGGCCAATCAATGATCCTCTCTCATCATTGATGTTTCTATCTCTCTTTTTTCCAATCCCTTCCCCTCTGAAATCAGTAAAAATATATATATTTTAAAAGTCAATGGGTGGAAAATTTCACCTGATGATGAGGATACTGGACACACGGTCTTTTAAGATGTTCCTGGGCTGATATTACAGATGTCCAGAGAGACAGGTCAGGGGTCATCCTGAGGTGATCTGAAGGGCAGAGGGGAGGTATAGCCCTCTCCTTACAGACTGTCACCTGAACAAAGGTCCTCACCCTGCAGAGGTCAGAGTCCTCCTCTGGTGACCTTTACAGAGATCACTGTGGCCTGTGAGTGGCTGACATCTCTGAGGAAGGAGCCCACTCTCAGTCAGTCACCTCCTCTGTTCTCCACAGAGCCCGTGGGGAAGCCCGCCCTCCGAGCCAGCAATGCCACAGTCACAGAGCATAAGGACCATGTGGTCCTGACCTGCCTCACAAATGACATGGGGATCTCCTTCCGGTGGCTCTTCAAGAACCAGATTCTACCTCACAAGAACAGGATGAAGCTGTCCCAGGACAACAGCGTCCTCACCATAGACCCCGTCAGGAGGGAGGACGCTGGGGGTTTTCAGTGTGAGATCTTCAACCCCATCAGTTCCAGCAAAAGTGACCCTCTCGAGCTGGACGTACAATGTAAGTGACCCCTTGCCCCATCCTACATCTTCCTGGGAGTATTGCTCTACCAATGGTGTGATAAATGGACAGAAGTCACAAGGGGCAGAATGTCAATCAGGAGACATTACAGTAAACTGAATGGCAAAGTGGTTAAGAGCTCAGTTTCTGACCCTGGGTCTGGCATTCACTCTGACCTTGCACAGGGCTGTGTGGTGGGGTTTTTAAGTCTACAGCTCTGTGGCATTAAGTACATTCACATTGTTGTGCAATCATTACCACTATCCATTAGGAACTTTTTCATCTTACCACACTAAAACTCTGTACCCATTAAACAATAGCTCCCCACCCCCCAACCCCAATCCCTGGAAACCACCATTCTACTTCTCTCTCTATGAATATGATTATTCCAGGTACTTCATATAAGTGGAATCATATGATATTTGTCCTTTTGTGTCTGGCTATTTTCATTTAGCATAATGTCTTCAAGTTTCATCCATGTTGTAGCATATATCACAATTTCATTGCTTTTTCAGGCTGAATATTCCTCCATTGTATGTATCCATCACATTTATCATTCATCCATCCATGAACTTCTAGGTTGTTTCTACCTTTTGTCTGTTGTGAATGCTTCTAAGAAGAACAAGGGTGTTCAAATCCCTACTTTCAATTCTTTTGAGTATATATCCAAAAGTAGAATTACTGGATCAAATAGTAATTCTTTGTTCACATTTTTGTTGTTGTTGTTAATCCTCACCCTACGATATTTTTCCATTGATATTTTAGAAAGAGTGAAAGTGAGGGGGAGAAACATCAATTCAAGAGAGAACATCAATCGGTTGCCTTCCGCATGCACCCCAACCAGGACCAGAGATGGAGCCTGCAACCGAGGTACATGCCCTTGACTGGAACTGAGCCGGAACCTTTCAGTCCACAGGTCAGTGCTCTATCCACTGAGCAAACTGGCTAGCGCTGTTCATTTTTTGATGAACTGCCATACCATTTTATGTGGCTGAACCATGTATTCCTGCCAGCAATGCACAGAAGTTCCCATTTTTCCCCATCCTTGTGAACACATTGTTTTCTAGGTGGTTACTATTTTGTTTTGTTTTATTTTGCTTTGTTTCGATAGTAGCTATCTCAGTGGATGTGAGGTGATATCTCATTGTACTTTAGATTTCTATTTCCTTAATGATTAGAGATGCTGGGCATTTCATATGCTCATTATCCATTTGTTTATCTTCTTTGAAGAAATGTCTATTCAGTTCCTCTGGCCATTTTATAATTGGATTTTTTTGTTGTTGAGTTTTAATAGTTATTTATGTATTCTGAATATTAATCCCTTATCAGATATATTATTTTCAAATATTTCCTCCCATTCCATGTGACTTTTCACTTTGTTGACAGTGTCCTTTGATACACAAACTTTTTAAAAAAATATATTTTACTGATTTTTTTACAGAGAGGAAGGGAAAGGGATAGAGAGTTAGAAACATCAATGAGAAAGAAACATTGATCAGCTGCCTCCTGCACACCCCTTAGGGGCATGTACCCGCAACCAAGGTACATGCCCTTTACCAGAATGGAACCTGGGACCCCTTCAGTCCGCAGACCGACGCTCTATCCACTGAGCCAAACCGGTTAGAGCTATACACAAACTTTTTTATTTAGAAACATCAATGAGAGAGAAACATTAATCAGCTGCCTCCTGCACACCCCCTAGTAGGGATGTGCCTGCAACCAAGGTACATGCCCTTTACCAGAATGGAACCTGGGACCCCTTCAGTCCGCAGACCGACGCTCTATCCACTGAGCCAAACCGGTTAGAGCTATACACAAACTTTTTTATTTTTGATAAAATCCAATTTATCTGTTTTTCCTTTGTTGCTGTGCTTTTGGTTTCCTATCCAAGAAATCATTGCTAAACCTAATGTTAAAGCTTTTACCCTATGTTCTCTTATAAGAATTTTTTAAAATACGTTTTTATTGATTTCGGAGAGGAAGGGAGAGGGAGAGATAGAAACATCAATGATGAGTGAGAATCATTGATCCGCGCCTCCCGCAGGCCCCTTACCAGGGATGGAGTCCACAACCTAGGCATGTTTCCTGACCAGGAATCAAACCATGACTTCCTGGTTCATGGGTCAACACTCAACCACTGAGCACACTGGCCAGGCATCCTATATAATAAAGATGTAATATGCAAATGGTCGTTTCGCCCTGCGCATAATGACCTGATCACAGATCAGCAGGAGGGTGGGACAGCGAGCTATAAGCGGGAGCTGAGAGCTACAAGAGCGGGCAGGGCAGCAAGCTATGAGGGGGAGGGGAGGAGCTTCAGGAGGGCGGGGCAGTGGGCGGAGAACTACTGGAGGGCGGCAGCGAGCTACTGGCAGGCTACTGGCTCACAGATTCGTGCACAGGGCTAATAGTCTTCTAATAATGTTTTATATTTAGATCTTTGATCCAACCGTGATCTCCTGGTTCATAGGTTGAAGCTCAACCACTGAGCACACCAGCTGGCTATATATTAATCTTTATGCTAGTACCACACTGTTTTTTATTACTGTGGCTTTGAAGTAAAGTTTGAAATCAGGAATGTGAATTCTCCAATTTTGTTCTTCTTTTTCCAGATTGTTTTGGCCTTTTGAGGTCTCCTGAAATTCCATATGAATTTTAGGGTGGATTTTTCTTTTTTTTAAAAAAATTTTTTTATTGATTTTTTACAGAGAGGAAGGGAGAGGGATAGAGAGTTAGAAACATCGATGAGAGAGAAACATCGATCAGCTGCTTGCACACTAAGTAAAGTTTGAAATCAGGAATGTGAATCCTCCAATTTTGTTCTTCTTTTTCCAGATTGTTTTGGCCTTTTGAGGTCTCCTGAAATTCCATATGAATTTTAGGGTGGATTTTTCTATTTTTGCCAAAAAAAAATGTCATTAGGTTATTGATAGGGATTTCATTGAATCTGTATATCACTTTGAGCAGTATTGTCATCTTAACAACTTTTTTCCCAATCCATGAACATAGAATGCCTTCCCATTTATTTATGTCTTTAAATTATTTGCAGCAATGATTTTTGTAGTTGTTCAGTGTATGTCTTTCACCTCCTTGGTTAACTTAATTCCTATGTATTTTATTCTTTTTTAAAGATTTTCTTATTTCTTTATTGTTGAGAGTATTTCAGATGTCCCCCCTTTTCTTCCCCATTGCCCCCCTCCACCCAGATCCCATTCCGCCCCAGGCTTTCACCACCCTATAGTCTGTGTCCTGTGCCCCTCCCCGCTTCCCTCGGAGATTCGCCAGTCTGTTCTGTTTTCAGGCTTCTGGTTCTATTTTATTCATCAGTTTATATTGTTCATTAGATTCCTTGTTATTTATTTTTATTTTTAGATTCAATTGGGTTTTTTTGTCTGTCTGTTTGTTTGTTTGTTTTAATATATTTTTTAATGTATTTCAGAGAGGAAGGGAGAGGGAGAGAGAGAC